TTTCCCTTCCCCGTCTTGGGCTGCTTTTCCCCTCGAAATAATACAAAGTCATTGCAAACATCATCAAAGGAACTTCCCCCATGCCCTCGACCCAAATTTACCACTCCGTGCCACTTTCCAACAACGCGGTCACGGTCAGAAACCGCGTCTCTCAGGGGCATTTTTGTCTTTTTACACTTTCCCTTCTTTGGATCTTTCTTCGTCTTCGTCTTCCCTCTCGCTTTCTCCGCCAATCCTTGCTTCTCTTTCGGGGGGAGAGAGAGAGAGAAGGGGATCTTTTTATGAGTTTCTGAAGGAAGGATTGAGCTGCGGACTGCTTCGAGCTTTCCTTTCTCTCTGCGTTAATGGCGGAAAACGGCGAAGAAAAGTTACTTGCTGTGGCCCGTCACATAGCCAAGACCCTCGGCCATAACGAGTCCATGGCCGATGATATCTTGCAGATCTTCTCCAACTTCGATGGCAGGTTTTCCCGCGAGAAGCTCGTTGAAACCCACTCCGGAGACGACGGATCCGGTGGCGGATTCCCTGCCCTCGAGCGCTCTTTGAATTCCTTGGACCGTCAGATCTCCCGCTTCGTTGCGGCGGATCAGCCTATCTGGGCCGATCCAGCCGACTCCGCCGCCTTTCTCGACGCCATCGACGATCTCGTTGTTGCTATCCGAGAGTGGAGCCCCATGGCCACCGAGAAGCCCGTCGCCGCCTGCCTCTCACGCGCCGACGAGATGATGCAGCAAGCTATGTTCCGAGTCGAGGAGGAGTTCAAGTCGCTCATGGAGCGAGGTGCTGAATCCTTCGAGCTCAACCCACTGGGAGACGCAGCCATGAGCCACCGTTTCGACTCCGACGAAGAGGAGGAGGAAGGAGAGTACGACAGATGCTTCCAGGACGGAGAAGACTTCCAGATCCCGGTGGCCCAGCCGCTCACCGACTACGACGTCGTCATCGACGCCCTTCCCTCGGCCACGATCAACGATCTCCACGAGATGGCGAAGCGCATGTTGGGAGCCGGTTTCGGGAAGGAGTGCTCCCACGTCTACAGCTCTTGCAGGAGAGAGTTCCTAGAAGAAAGCATGTCGAGGTTAGGGTTGCAGAAGCTCAGCATCGAAGAAGTGCACAAGTTGCCATGGCAGGAGCTGGAAGATGAGATCGAACGGTGGATTAAAGCCGCCAACGTCGCCCTCCGGATCCTCTTCCCTAGCGAGCGCCGCCTCTGCGACCGCGTCTTCTTCGGCTTCTCCTCCGCCGCCGATCTTTCGTTCATGGAGGTATGTCGCGGCTCAACCATTCAGCTTCTGAATTTCGCGGACGCAATTGCGATCGGAAGCCGATCGCCGGAGAGATTGTTCAAAGTGCTTGATGTATTCGAGACGATGAGGGATTTGATGCCGGAATTCGAGTCGGTGTTCTCTGATCAGTTCTGTGTAGTTCTCAGAAACGAAGCCATCACAATATGGAAACGATTGGGCGAAGCCATAAGAGGGATTTTCATGGAACTTGAGAATCTCATCCGCCGCGACCCGGCCAAAGCGGCGGTCCCTGGCGGCGGCCTTCACCCCATCACTCGCTACGTCATGAATTACCTCCGAGCCGCCTGCAGATCCAGACAAACCCTAGAGCAAGTATTCGAGGACAGCAATGGGGGTCCATCTAAGGACTCGACCCTGTTGACGGTGCAAATGGCATGGATCATGGAACTGCTGGAAAGCAACCTGGAAGTAAAATCCAAAGTGTACAAGGATCCAGCACTGTGCTCTGTGTTTCTGATGAACAATGGCAGATACATGGTTCAGAAGGTGAAGGACAGCGATCTGGGTCTGCTCTTAGGGGAAGACTGGATCAGGAAACACAACGCGAAAGTGAGGCAATACCATTCGAATTACCAGAGGAGCTCGTGGAATAAGGTGGTAGGAGTATTGAAGCTGGACAACAGCAACACAACAGCGGGCGCCATGAAAGAGAAGCTCAAGCAGTTCAATGTGCAGATGGAGGAGATGTGGAAAGCGCAGTCGAGGTGGGTGGTGTTCGACGAGCAGCTGAGAGAGGAGCTAAGGATATCGGTCGGAAGGCTACTGTTACCAGCTTATGGGAACTTCATCGGAAGGTTCCAGAGCCTTCCGGAGACGGGGAAACACGCCGACAAGCTCATCAAGTACGGAGTTGAGGATGTCGAGGCGCGTGTCAGTGAGCTGTTCAACGGGTCCGAAAGCTCGAGAAAGTGAACGTGGAAACCATATGATATCGTCGATGGGGTAAGCGGGAGGGGGACGATCACAGTGGGGTGGCTTTGGTCGCAAATTTTGCGAGGGTGAAGTGTTGTTGATTGTAATATTGTAGAGAAAAAAAGAGAGAGAGAGAGAGATGTCAAGTCTCTTCTAAGAAAATGATCAGAACTCTCTCGTGTTATATATGTTACTGTGGATGATTAAATTAAAGGATCGGATCTTGTAGTGAAATTGAATCTCGAATTTTAGACGAGGCTTGAAATATCTTTTAGAATCATGGAATTTGCTTATATTTATTCTATTTTAATTTTTATATCAAATTCATTTTAACTAATTATTCCTAATTCCTATCCATTCCATTATTTGATTATCAACAAATTGATCAGATGAAATCTCTGGACAACTAGGACCGATTTAGAACTGAAAAATACAAACCCATGCCTCCAATAGAGTGTTGTCAAAGATTTGCCGAATATTTGACCACGTGCACACGTGGCAGTTCTGTCAGAAATACGGCGCGTGGGCTCAAGACATACGGCTTTCAAAGTCGTTTCGGGGCAATATTTTTTCGTTATCATTAAACATAATATAACAAGATCTATGATATTTGTTTATTAGCCACAGTAAGAAATGTTTTATCTTAAACATTTTACCATACAAATTGAACAAAGTTAATAAATACGTAAGCCATAATCAGCCGGTTCACGATAAACTAAAATGTAGTCAAGAATAAACTTGGAAAATAGGTTATAAAATTCTTCCATTAGATTTTTGAACGACGTTAAACCATAAACCGATATCTTTGTATATTCAAATTAATACCAATTCTTCTGGATCAACACTTGAAGTGATAATAGACCGATCTCATGGGTTATTTGGTTACTAAAACAAGATTCGAACCTCGGACGAAAATTGTTATTAGGACATAGGCCTGCGTACGCTTCAAGCAAACGTCACCATGGCTTCATCATGTAACCATTCATGTTAGCCATGGCCTCATCATCTAACCGTCAATCTATCTCGGCAATGGTGGGTGACTTGTTTCATTAAACCTGGAAAGGTTTGGCCCTCCAGTGGAAAACGCAACCGCGGGACTCGAGGAAGCGGAGGAGGGAAGGCGGGAGAAGCGATCTGAACGAAGAGTGGAGCTTCACCTTGTTCAGTCCCTGAGATGACAGCAACGCAGCCGCCAGTCCGCTCGGGCTCAGACCGAACACATGCAAGATGGTCATGTTCTGCAGCCTGTTCAAACTTGCCAGCGCCACCACTCCTACATCCGTCACTCCACAGTACGACAGATTTATCTGCCATTCCATTGAAAAAAAAAACCTTTTTTCTCTAATGTTTGCATTCAGATCAATCCAATTTTCGTTCAAGATCGAAAAAGATAGGTACCTGTCTCAGATTCTGTGAGCATTCGGCGAGTGAAAGCATTCCTCTGTCATCGACATTCACGCACTTCTTTATGTCGAGAACAGTGAGTTGCCTACACCCGTTTGCGAGTGAAGATAGACCCCTCGACGATACAGTTGAGCATCCTCTTACTTCCACCACTTTCAACCTCGGGCATCTCGATAGCGAGATCAGTGACCCGTCTGTTATTCTCTCGTTGTACGCCATATTGACCATCTCGAGCCCATGGCAACTGCTCGAGATCGCCTCGATGCCCTTATCGGTTATTCCCAGGCACCTGCTTATACATTGAATGAATATCAATCAGGATGACTAGCTAGGAGAAAGTTCACAAATTTATGCAAAGAACAAATAACAAGAAAGGATTCAAACCTGTAGAGATCGAGCTCTTTCAGCATACGGCAGCCACTAGTGATGAATTCAAGACCAGTGTCATCTATGTTGCAGCAAATTCCCAGCTTCAAGCTCGAGAGTCGGGAACACTGGCCGATTGCCTTCAGCCCTGCGTCAAACAGAACCAAACAAAGACATATTCATTACATCAGATAACACAACAAAAACAAAGCAAATTCCATTACATCAGACACGAACCTTCATTGTCAACCTCGTTGTCTGTAACATCTAACTCCTCCAAGTACGGACATCTTTGTCCAATCAAGCCAAAAGCTTCCTTGGGCACCGAACTACAAGATTCCATCCTGAGTGAGACGAGACTCGAGCACAAACCAGTGATTGCATCGAGAGACTCATATGTTATCTTTCTACAACAAGTGATGTTTAATCTCCGCAGTTCTCTGTTGGATTGGACAACTAGCGAGAGAGCCTCATCTGTTACACCATTGCACTTGCTTAAACTGAGCTCCTTCAACCCGGCACTCCGGTTTCCCAATGTCTTCAGACCAGAACAAGACACTAGACACCCATCAAGCTTAACAGATTGTAGGTTCGAGAAATTTCCAAGGCAGGAGGCAAGATCAGCTGTGACCTGAAAACAATGAAGCCATGGATGGAACAAGTACATTAGCAGGCGCTGAACTGAGAGGGTTGTCTGTTTCAGACACAAAACGGAATTTACCTTACTGCTTCGTGGACTTGAGGAACAAGTATGGGAGAAGTTGAGATGCTCAAGGGAGACAGCATCTTTCGTTAGGGAGGATAATCCTATGTGGGTCACGTTTTGACAGTTTGAAACGTTGAGTGTCTGCACAAAAAGAGACAGAGGAAGCCGTCTGTCTGTTAATCTCTCGTTCTTGTGAAGGATGGTGAAATGGTTTACAAAGATTGTTTCTTTTTCTGACAAAGAATCCATTACCTTCAAAGATTTGGAAGAGGAAACAAGGGTTGAGAGTCCATCGTCATCTAATCCAAGGCATCCTTCCAGACCCAAGTCCTCGAGTTGTGGGAGTTGCAGAACCAAAGACAGGCATTTCTCCGTTATCTTCAAACTCAAACAACACTTTCTCGCATTTAGCTTATTGAGTAAAGAGGAAAAAGAATTGAAATCTTGAGGGGGGAGAGAGAGAGAGATACCGGCAAGTAGGAGAGATCCAAGCTTCTGATGTCCTTACACTTGAGAGCGATCAATTCAACGCCCAAATCACCAACACGAACACACCATTTCAGACAGAGAAGCTTGAGTTTCCGACAGCCGACGGCAATGCAACCAATCCCGATATCGGTGAAGAGCTTGCACCTCCCGAGGTTCAATCTCTCCAGGGCCTTGGCTTGGGCGATGGCTGGCGCGGCAGCGTCGGTGAGATCGGTGGCGTTGGAGAGATCAAGCTCGAGGAGACCGACGCAGGCGGAGATGAGAGCGGACAAGCCACGGCCGGTGAAGAACCTCGATCTGGAGAGGTTGAGAGAGAGGAAACTAGAGTGATTGAGGGAGGAGGAGAGGAGATTGAGAAGGGAATCGTCGACGCGAGGGCAGAGAGTGAGGTCGAGGTGGGAGATGGAAGGGTAGCGACGGAGGAGGCGGAGGAGGAGCTCTGTACGGAATGGTTTGAGAGATTTGCGGTGGCGGGATTCGAGGAAGACGAAGGATTTGCAGGTCAATGAGAATGATTTTGCGGCGAAAGGGTCGTCGAGGAGATGGTCCAGGATCTTGAACATCAACTCTTCGGACAGATGGTCGAAAGGATTGAGGAGGTGAGTTTGGTTCTGGTTCTGTTTCAGCTTCTTCATGTTTCAGAAACGTTGACACGAGAGAGAGAGAGAGAGAGAGAGAGAGGGTGAGAATGAAAAGGGGAAATAAATATATAAATAGAAAGAAAAATGCGAGGAAAGTGAGTAACTTAACTGGGGGAGGAGGACATAGGAAGAGTACGGCACTGACGTACCTAACGTGGTACGTTTCTCCACGCGCTCTCGTGGCGCGTACACAGCACGCCCCCGTTTTTTCCCCCGGTTGTGACCTCCACCAGTCAAACCATGATCTTGGCATTGTCCAACCATCATCATCAATTGTTATTTTATTAGTCTTAAAATTCAATAACAAAATCGTATAGGCCCAACTAAAAGCCCATCAAGGCCCATCTCATCAGCCCATTTAAAATAAACAAGGATTGAGTTCGCCTCATGAGAAAGCCCGGAGGGGGGGGGGGATTAATGTAAATGTAGATGTAGATGTGGCATTGATTTAGGCGCCGACCGTGTTATATTATAATTCTTCCAATGTACATAATATTTATATATATACACACACATGGACAACTTCGACGGCAATTTCATTAATTTTAATTTGAAAAGAAAATAAATCTTGCCACGTGGCAAAAGTGCCGCCGTCAGATGAAAAGGGGGGGGGGGGGGGGGG